TTTCAGTCCATCAAATACACAACTATTGCAGTAGCACAACTCCATGATATGGAAATAGTATTCAGTGATCCTAAAGAATGGAAAACTACTTGATTTTTATAGTGGATCCAGGAGCTGTGAATTGTGAAAATTTCTCACTTTCTTTGGATGTTGATTGGTAACTTCTGAATCCACAGGTACGAGGAACAAACCAAATTATGCTGACTCTTCTTTATTGCTTCTCTTTCATGCCAGTTAGATAGGATTTTGTGCTAGGGAGAAAAACTACCTGTGACTTTCAAAATAAAAACAGTTCTGTGGAGCTAAAGTGCTTCCACTGTACCCACTGCCCACTGATAGGAATCTCTCCTATGGCATGTTGTAAATTTGGCTGACAGCCTTTATTGCTGAGTGCTGAGTATGCTACATATTCCTGGAATGTGTTTCAGGGCTGGTGATACATGAGGCCCTGCATCAGGAAGGAGTTTTTCTGTGGTTCTTCATAGGCTAAGCATCTATTCAGTTCTTAATGAAAATAAACAATGTACTGATTATGATAGTATATTCGTAGGTAATTTTGTCTTGCTTAGGCAAAGAAAAAATAGAACATTAAATAATGTTACAAGATAAAACAGTCTTGTTTTTAATAAAAAGGGAAATATAGCAGCAACAAATAGACTATAAATGATGTAGAACTAGTCAAATTGGATTTTTCTGTCTAGTAAATGAAAATTAATATGTAGCTAAGGCACATGGGCACAAACTTCCAAATTTCAAAATATTAAACAATTTACAGCAATTTCTCATTATAAAATTCACCTGGAACAATGAAACAAACAAGTTCCTGTTTCAACAGTTTTTAACGAGTTTGTCAAGTGCTACCATTGCTTTTTATTTTTTTTTGGCCAAATTCAGTTCTAAGTCCCAGTATGTTCCAAATCCTTTTGCATTTAATTGGAAATAAATAAATTAAATAAATAAATAGTCAGAAGATTTAATTAAATTAAAACTTAGTAAGAAGTATTCCCAAGATCAGCCAAATCAGCAGGATTCTAATATATTAATCTATATACAGTGAAGTCTCAATATATCAAAATTATGTGTTCATAAGTCATGACTAGATATCTAACTATGTGCATAAATCTTTATGTGCTGTGACTTCAGGGAAGCTAACTTACCTAAATATAACTTCAGTATTTCTGAGACTTTGTTATCTTACCTTGATATAGATACTTCAGACAGAATTTTGTACACATTTTAATTGACATTTTAAATTTTCATATTTAATTTGTTATAAATTATTGCATTCCTCATTCATTTTGTTGATCATTGATAGTTATTAAGGTCTCCATAAACTGTGTAAATAGAGAGAAGGTATTAAAATTCTTACAGCAGAAATTTTCATTCCTATAGACTATAACTAAAGTGGGTCCAGTGTATAATCAATGGATATCAAGATGTTACAATCACAAAATAAACAAGAGAGTTAGGCGAAGTGGACTACGATAACAAGAGAGAATAAATAGAAGGCTTACCCTTATGCCGGGCTCAACACAAAACACCAGAAGGAGGGATCTCCAGACGAGATCCTTCCTCACTGGTAGCCAGCTCTTAAATAGGTCTAAATTGCCTTCACCTGTGCTCCTCTGGCTGACTCATGGCTCGCCTCAGGTGATCAATCAGAGGTTCAGGCTGTGACTCAGCAGTTCCCATACAGTCTAGCAAATAATGTATAATTTTCTCTCCAGTCCCACTAATACTAGTTTATCATGGGGATGGTTCATGGAGTCAATAGAGGAAAGAAGACAGAAAACCTGGGGAAGGAGAAGGGAAATAATAAGCCTAATATTTCCGTACAGCTTCTCTTTTTCTTACACAGTCAATGGAAAATTGTATTTTAATCTTTTTGTTTGAGGTTAGGATGTAGTTTTAAATATCTTGGTGTCTGTATTGCTGCTTCCTGCCCATGTGCAAGTCATTCTCCATGCAAAAATTAGTAAGATTTTTTTTCAACAGTAAGTCATTTAATTGACATGAGGTTCGCATTTCTACACATGAAAATTAGTATTACTTGTGCTTTCTATGAGTCTGACATTTTACTCTCATTCAATTAATTTATTTTTTCTAATCTCTGCTTTATTGCTCCATTCTTCCTGATACTATATTTATTTTTCACGTATCTATGTATGCATTTCTCAAGGAGTATACCACTTTCTGTTTTTAGTTTTATTTTACATTTTATTTTTCTCTCTGAACAGTAAATTCTTTTCAGTGAAGTATTTTGCATTAAAAGCACACAAACAGGACATGACCTTCATGCAATACTTCATGAAATGATTTAATTCATCTTTCACTTGTGATAGGAACAATGGTGAAAATTACCAATAACATAACATTTGATATTTACTTATAGACATTTTTCATTTCTGCAAGGAAAACTGCAGTTTTAAGTGTGTAGTGTGGATGCTTTGAACATATTCTCACCCACTGATCAGACCATGAAACTTTTAGCCATTTCAGGGTCTTCTGAGTTTACTTTTTCCAAATATTAGCTGTCTAGTTTTCAATGGATCTAACCTAGACTTGTAAAATGAGAATCAGTGCATTTATGTCATTGTGAATCTTTCAGTAAAATAATGCAATTGTAAAAATAAATGCTAGTTTTTTTCAAAGGTAGAATATTTTAAGTATTTAATTTAACATCAGCAGTATACCATGTTGCGTATCCAAAATTAATTCTTACTTGTAATATTACTATTTTTAAGACAAACTGTACCAAATGCAAATATTGCTGTAGGAAAACTTGTAATCTGTTGACTACCCAAATATTTGTCCAAATTTTTGCAAATCACCAACAGCAAGTGATGCAAAAGTTGTTTAACTGAGTCACTATTCAGATGCATGTTTTAAACACAATCCTTATAAACTTAACTAACTGTAGACAGGATTCTCCTGTGCTTTATGATTTCTGATTATGAATTCCTCTGTTAGTTCATTTTTAAGTACTTAGAAAGGAAGAAATTTGTATTTTTACAAAACTCAGCCTTAGAATGCATAAATACATGAACGATAGATGGTACTACCTATATACTGAAAACAAAAGAGTGGAAATCTAATGCGAATCAGTTTAACTAGGAAGTATCTTGTCAGATCAGAATATGGTGTAAAATGAGTTCAGAATTAACTTACATTACGTGTAGTACTCCTTGGGCTCTTGCAAACAAATCGCTTTCCTTCTTTGATCTGGATGAAGACAAGTGTCAAGAGTAGGGTTTTACAGAGTTTCAGAACAATCAAGATAGTCTGAAACTGTATAACGTAGGATCCTGTGTGCACAAGAAAGCAGAAGGGAGTTTGTTTTTTACTTCTCTCTGCTTCCTTTTAGTCCTGTGTAAACGTAATGCAGCTCCTGGCACAGAATGTTCTTTTTTTTCTAAGCAGAGATTATAAAAACTCAAGTTCTTGCAACTTTACTTTGAGGCCTTTGAGACCTTCCTACCTTTTATTTTGAAATTAAGGAAAAGCCCATAATATTTTGTAATGAATGGTCTTTCAGTGTTTTATTTCCATGCTGCCTCAGCAATCTTTTGCAATTAGATATATTCTCATGACAAGTTCTACATGTGCAATAGTAAATGGAGTACTTTGTGAAAAGAGGAAAAAATCCCCCCAGAATCCCATATTTTCTCAGAATCTAATTGTAGAAAATATCCTATGAATGTTTTCGTTCAGGTCTTTCAGAATTAGTGAACATATATGAAATAGTGAAATGTCTCAGTATTATCTCTCTAAAAGAATTCTGAGATTTTTTTAAAGGTATCACATGAATGAAAACACTTTGTATTATTCATCCAAATGAAACTCTGTAAAAATGATAGCTAGTCAGTAACACTGTTATGACAGAAAGAAAGAGAGGAGGGATTCTTCGTAGAATTGCATTCATAACACATGAAAAAGGGGATGCCATGATTTTTCATCTAATTCCCTCCCCCCCAAACCCCCCGGGGATTTCTTATCCAATTTAACGGAAATTCTTTTTTTTCTTGTTTTTGAAAGAGGAGAAGAAAAATGATGGCTTTGTTATTTCCTATTTTTGTTATTGCACAAATCTTAGCACAGAAAAATAACTTTTAACTGATATGATTTACTCTCTAACATTCAGAATAGTGATATTATTCAGCAATTAGCGTAGATTTTAAAGTACTCATTCAAAAATCCTGCGTGCTATATAAAGGAGAACAGATGACATATGAAGATACTACACTACTCTGTGAACTTCTCTTTGAAATACTGAAATATTTTAAAGCAGCAAAATTTTCACATCTTATTAAAATATTAGATTATGAGAAAGAAGTAGCCCACATTAAAAATATGAAAATTCACATCCTTGTTATTCAGACACATTATCTTTCTGAATGAGCTGCTTGCTTCCTGGCAGTGCTAATAGGTATTTAGATGGTATCATGTCTGACAATCTATCAAATAGACTTTTGTGGCCTTGTCCTGAAACATAAGTTGATGTCTGTATTTTGTAATAAAATAATAATAATATAAAGTGCTTGTTGCATATCAGACTTTGGATCCTTTGATTAGCTTTAGGGTAGCAAACTAAAGCAACAGTCTATAGGTTTGTATTAAAGAAAATCTACTGCAGCATAATTAAAAGCCTGATGTGATTTATTTATTTATTTATTTTAAAGAATACTCTTTCACTGGATTTAATAGTCTAATAGATCATAGGCTTGAACGTGATAGGACTTGCTTCATCACTATTTTCTGACTTACAGGAAACACCAACTGGATCAATTTTTGCACATATTTACTCATATGTGCATGCAGTTTTGCTTTTGTATGACCAGAGTGACTACAGTTAGATGTACATGGCTTTCCCATAAATGTTCTTGGCTGTAAAGAGCAGGATATTATTTTTTTTTCTGCAGCATTGCATTTATTTTATTCTTATCAAAAGTAAATTTCTTTAAAATATGCACCACAATGTATGATCCGTGTGATGTCTTTAGGTTCCCCTTATAGAGACAAGATCACGATAGCAATTCTACAGCTGCAAGAGGAAGGAAAGCTACACATGATGAAAGAGAAATGGTGGAGAGGCAATGGCTGCCCAGAGGAGGAAAGCAAAGAGGCCAGTGCTTTAGGAGTTCAAAATATTGGAGGAATCTTTATTGTCTTGGCAGCAGGATTGGTGCTTTCTGTCTTCGTGGCAGTCGGGGAGTTTTTGTACAAATCCAAAAAAAATGCCCAGTTGGAAAAGGTAAATACTGTACTTTCTTATTTTATTTTTATTTATTGTCTACTTAAATAAAATTTAAAACATTTTATAGCCAAATGTAGGTGCATATTGATTGTTTATCATATAATACAGTATTTCTATAACAAAGGATCACAGCAAAGTACCCAAAGTCTTACATTTACAGCTTTTAATTTTTGTTCAATATGTTTAATTGTAGCCAGCTTTCAGGACAAGTGACTATTTCTCCTCTTATTCAAGCCTGAAAAAAGACAGCTTTTTACTCCTGGAAGTTCACTGCAGTTAATTTTATGGATGAAGAAGAAATCCGAAACTGTAATGGGAAACAAATTAAACTACAGATAATTCTGATTTTCAAAAGACAAAACTGTCTGTAGCTCAAAGTCAAACTATAAAAACGTGTCTATAGAAATGTTCTTTCTGAAGTTTATACTTGAAAAGTTGTCCTGGTAGCATCTGGAAAAGTTTACATCAGCTTAATTTTTTGTGGGTTTACTGCTGGTCATAATATAATGAAATCTGTAATTTCAAACTGACTTGGTTTTGAAAGTTCTAGTTCTATTTTTTTCTGTACTTCTGTATTTCCATTATCACAATATTGTAACTGTGCCAATACTAGTAGTATCTTTTTGAAATTCTTAGCTGAAGTTACAAACTGCATAGAAAATAAACATCCCAATCCTTAAACAGCTCATGTTTAAATCTGAACTCAAACTATATATTTTATTGCTTTGACATGATCTGAATTGTTTAAATGGAGAGGAACTGTTGTTTTTAATTACCTGTTAATTTATTGTTGTTCAAATTTGGAGGAGCTTGTGACCTCTGGTAGTTCTTATATTTCTATTTAGTAAAATCAGATGTAAATCCAACAGTTATATTTATATTTTTCCAGATGCTACTGGTGAATTTTTGTAACTTGAATTATTACTCATAAAATTTAAGATTTGTCTTAACTTCATTTGAGGCCACCATGCAAGTGTCTTTTTATTTATATCTTGTTAAAGACATGTTTTCTAATATTTACTGTGTGAGGCCGTGTGAGGCCACAAGGTCCTAAACACAGTTTGAACATGGGTACATGCTATTAAAATGTTGAAGGACCATTTAGATCCTTTTCTTTATGATGCTTCAGACTCATTCAGTTCTGTTAATGTGCTATTTGAATGTTATGTTTCTGAAATGAAATTGTGAGGGAAAAGATACCAAATACCTAACTAACCATGTAAATCTCAAAAATTTATCCATGGTGGATATGGATTTCATATGGGAACCGGTATAATTTGGTTCAGCTTTTCTGGACTTTTAATAGACACTTAGAAAAAATAGGAATGTTTTGATAATAATCTTGTAACATCAGCTCTTCAGTGTTTTGCAGGGTGTGAATACTTAACGTACTTAATACTGTCAGCATGTTAGAATTTGTGTGAGGAAGAAGTAAACAGAAACTGTTTTTATTTAAGGAGCCATTTCTCCAAGCCCTAAGGTGCTGGTTTTCTGTGGAGTTGTTTTTTTGTTTGTTTGTTTGTTTGCTTTTGTTTTTGTTGTTGTTGTTTGCTTTTTAATTTTTTAATTTTTTTTGAGAGCTGGATAGAAATAGCAAAAAGTGCAGGTATCTGAATGTCTTGCATTTACTGTATCAAAAAGGATTAATCATAGCAACAAGTGCTGAACTAATTTCAGAATTAGGACTGAATCTGAAGCAGTTGAAAGGGTTACGTTTCTCCATTCTCCTTCCATCTTGTCTCCAAAATCTTCCCTCCCTTCCCTTTCCCAAACACGCAACTACTGTCATCTCAGGAGAACACAGGTAAAATTTAGAAATGTAGAATAAAATTAATAGGAAATGATGCAAATCTCCCTGCATATGTCCTTCCCTGTACCACCCTCACCCACTCTTCTAGAACTCACTATCTTTCACTAAATGACTTCTCCCTCCCTGCTCAAGAGTAAAAGATCCCCTTTGCCTAGGAGAGAGGAGTGTAGTAGCAGCCAAAGGGGAGACAAGCAGAACTGTCATCTGTCTCCAATCCCTACATCTCCTCTCCTGTGACAAGTAAACCATTCAAATAACAAAGCCTTGGTTATCCCATAGAGACAGAGGAAACACCTATTTTTTCTAACATTTATTTCATTCTTTTAGACGCAGAGTATAATTCTGGCATTTGTGTAAAACTTGTCGGCATTTGAAGACAGGAATGATCAAAGGTCACGTTAACAATCAAGGAAATTAAAGAAATCAGATTACTTCAACCGGTCAATATATTGAGTATCTTGAGATATAAATGAACATATTAACCAATTTTCCTCCCTTGTAACATAAGAAATACACAGTTGCGCTTCCATTGTGGCAATGAAGAAGCAGTGCAGATTTTAAGTTTATAATCTAGATAATTTTTGAGCATTTTTGATGTCAGATTCCATCCTGGAGTATATATGCAAACAGAAATATTACCTGGTGTGAAACTGTTTGGAGGAGTGATATCTTAAAAGGAATGGAGCTGAGAAAAGCAGCAGACAAAATTTTATTTGCTAAAGAAACTGCTACTTCTAGTAACTGAAGTGGCTCAGAGCATCCATTCTGATGTGCTCAAAAAATCTGAAGGAAACATGGGACAGTTCTTGTCCTTCTGGGAAACAAACACCAGTAAGCAGAATGCCACCATGCATTCATGCCACCATAGCATTTTACAGACATAGAGAAATTCCTCTTTTATTCACACTTTTCAAAAGCAAAAATTATTTTGGATGTCATCACCATTAAACTGTTAGTGACATTTGCTCTGGCCAGTTTGTTTGAAAAACAAGTGTCCTAATTTACTAGCTGTTTTCTAGAAGATCCAGATCTAATGGATGTAAAACCTAACTAAAACAGTCAATTAAACTATCAAACAAATGATAATAGTAATAATACTAAAACAGCACCATAGACTCACATATACTATGATTTATAGCCATTCAAAACTCACAGTCATTAGCAGATCAAAGGTAGATTTGTTTGGAAAAAAAAAAGTAGCAGATGTATATTTTATTATATTCGAACAGTTAAAAATGTCAAAAAATGTAAAATGATAGTGTGTGCTACCTTAGAGGAAATCTGGTCAGAGGCTTCCTAAAAATAAGATTCAGTGTGGGAAAGTGAAGGTTAAGGGAGATGAGTTCATTCAATTTGGAAAGGAAGGGCTCCTGGGAGACCTCATTGCAGCCTTCCAGAACTTAAAAGTTTACAAACATGAGGGATATTGAATTTTTGCATGGTCTGACAGTGATAGCACGAGAGGGAATGAGAAACATCCTGGAGCCACATCCAGCCTGATCTTGAATGCCTTCAGGGATGGGACATTCACAACCTCCTTGGGCAACTTGTTCCACTGTGTTACCAACCTCTATGTGAAAAACTTCCTCCTAATATCTAACCTAAACCTCCTCTGTCTTAGTTTAAAATCATTTCCCCTTGTCCTATCACTATCCACCCACATAAACACTCATACCTCTCCTGTTTATATGCTCCCTTCAAGTATTGTAAAGCCACAATGAAGTCTCCATAGAGCTTTCTCTTCTCAAAGCTAAACAAGCCCAGTTCCCTCTATGTTTCCTCATAGGAGAAGTGCTCCAGCCCTCTGATCATCTTAGTGGCCCTCCTCTGAACCCACTCCAAGAGCTCCGTGACCTTTCTGTACTGCAGACCCCAGGCCTGAATGCAGTACTCCAGATGAGGTCCCACAAGAGCCGATTAGAGGGGGAAAATCACCTCCCTCTCCCACTCTCCTACTCCTCCTTTAATGCTGCCCAGAACATAATTGGCTGCAAGCCATTCTGGGCTGCAAGTGCACACTGCTGACTCATGTCCAGCTTCTCATTCACCAGGACCCCAAGTCCTTCTCCGCAGGGCTGTTCTCAAGGAGATCTTCCTCCAGTCTGTGTAAATGCCTGTGATTGCCACGACCCAAGTGCAGCACCCTGCACTTGGCTTTATTGAACCTCATTAGGTTTTCATGGGTTCACTTCTCCAGCCTGCCCAGGTCCCTCTGGATGGCTTCCCTTCGTTCCAGTATATTGGCTGCACTGCTCAGCTTGGTGTCATCTGCAAACTTGCTGAGGGTGCACTCATTGCCATCGTCCATGTCACTGATGACGATGTTGGAGAGCACCAGTCCCAACACCGACCCCTGAGGGGCACTGCTTGTGGTCGGCCTCCACCCTGACACAGAACCATTGATCACAGCTGTTTGTCTATGTCCAGCCAGCCAATTCCTAATTCATTGAACAGTCCATCCTCCAAATCCACACGTCTCCAATTTAGAGAGAAGGATGTGGTGAGGGACCATGTCAAAGACCTTGCAGAAATCCAGGTAGATGACATCCACCGCTTTTCCTCTGTCCACCCAAGCTGTCACTCTATCAAAGACGGCCACCAGATTGGTCAGGTGCAATCTGCCCTTGGTGAAGCCATGCTGGTTGTCTCGATTCACCTCTTTATCTCTCATGTGCCTTAACATAGCTTCTAGGAGGATTTGATCCATGATCTTCCCAGGCACAGAGGTGAGGCTCACCAGCCTGTAGTTCCCTGGGTCTTCCTTTCTACCTTTCTTAAGATCAGCCTAGGTGGTTTATCTCACAGTTATAATGAATGAATCCTTAGCAGTTTGCAGCATTGGACCCAAAGTACACATAAGTAACTGTTAAATGCATACGAGTTATATACAGTATTTTAATCATTACCATAGTTTCTGTTGAAGTAACAATAAACTCTGAATGCTGAAATGTGATTTGCATGAGATACCATCTATGTATTCAGAGATGACAGAAACTTAACTGGTTTATCAAAACATATCATTTACAAAAATTTCAAACACCTTCTTCAGAGCAAACCAGCAATGTTTTGATTTTGATAATGTAAGGATGGCAAGAATAGAAGTCTCTGATCTTATCTGGTTCAAAAAGTCATGCAGATTCATCGGGCTACAGAAACCATAGGTTATGGTAGCATTTGATCTTCAAAG